TTTTTTTTTTTTGATAGAGTAAGGCATTAAAAATATTCTCAGGTTAAAAAAAAAAATATTCTCAGGTTCTCCATATAGTACACTGGGTTATGCTAAATTAAGGCTTCCTTTAAAAACAGGGAATTAATTTTCTGCAAATCATTCCTTGTATTTTTTGGTGGTTAATATGTATATGTTGGAGTGAGGGTATTAAAAACAAAGAAATAAAAACGAAGAAAGTACCTGTGACTTGAGCTTAGAACTAAAATCGGACTGTCCATAAGGAAAATGAGGAGTCGGAGTGGTGGCTGATTTGGGGGGTGAGTTTCAGAGAGCCCAGATCTTTAAGTGCTGTAACCATGGCTACGGGAAGAAGCTTTTTATGTGATATATTATGCCATGTTCGTATTATTGATCTGGCGAAATGAGCGTGTTCAATCGGGTCTAGCTGATGCCCTGAGCCAAGATTTGGGCTCACTCGAATTTGAATGTCAATTTCAGGCAGCTCATTAGGGGTCAGCCTCCTATTTGAATCCGCAGCCCCTTACATAATGTATTCCTAAAATTCTCGGTGTAAATTGAATTTGAGTAACTGGAATTGTATTCAAATGCACTGGCAAATTTGTTATTTAAATGAAACTGCAGTGCTGGTCCAGGGTGGGAGTTTGGGCTGAGAGGGAGGAGGCCATAATGTCCACAAGGTCCGGGAGCATAGGAGGGGTGGGCCCAGTTGTGTCTCGGCAGAGGCCCAGCCAGGCCAGCAGGTCGGGAGGCAGCCGTCCCCCCAATGAACCCCGAGCGAGGGAGCACTTTTTAGCCAGCCGCAGTCTGCAAGGGAGGACTCACGAGCACTGCCCAGGACCTGCTCAGGCTGCCGGCCACCAGCAGGTGACTGTTGTAGAGGGTATTCTAAATGTCCGGCGTGCTTTGATTTTTTTAATCACTTTACAGAGCTGAGCGGGGAGGCCACCCACAGCGGCTAAGTGTTCGCGTTCCGAACACAGACCTGGGATCTCCTGGCCGCGGGATGGGGCCCGCTCCTTGGACGTTTTTGTGCCTTCCTGCGGGATATCTGTGCTTCCTACCTCTACAGGCTCCGGGTCTGCCGAATGGGATCATGCATTTCCAAGCTTCTGGCACCGTGTCTGTGCATGCTAAGCATTCAGGAAATGTTGGTTCTTACGATTCTCTAAGCCTCAGCCATTCTCAGGATGCAGAGAATGTTCCTGGGACCCGGGATAGCAAAAGGATCCCTGCTCCGCAGGCCGGCAGCTTGGAGTGCGCACTGAGTGAGCAACTGCGGACCTGGGCCAAGTGACAGCTGCGACCCTGGTGCAGTGCCAGGTTCTGTGGGTCGTTCTGGCTTCCTAAGAAACCCTCGCTGCCCTCGAGGTGACGAGGCGGCCACTTGAACTAATAATCCGGGCAGACCACGCCATGGGTCATTAGAGGGGTGGGACCCTGTGCTCTAGTACTGGAGGAAGGGAGGTGCGGGAGGATGGGCCTCTGGCGGGGCTTTCGGGGGGCCCAGGAGAGCCCCAAGTCCCTGCCTCCTGGAGAGGGGTCCTGCAGGAGACGGAGTCCTGGGCACTGTGCCCAGATCCCTCGAGGAGAACTCAAGGAGGGGAGGCCACCTGACTTGTACCGAGTAGCTTCTTTAGGCGGAAAATGGAGCGGTCACCAGCTCCCTTGGACACAAATGCCACCGTCGGTGTTTCCCTTAGAAACAAGATAAAAAGGCAGAGAAGCCTGTGTTCGTGGACTCCTCAGCAGGACTTGTGGAGTTGGGAACGTTGGCGCCGGTTGTCACACGGATCAGCTCCGACTCCCACACACCTGCGGGTGAGAGTGTGTGTCAGTACGTTTTATATGTGTAAACGTGTGCGCACACACACATGTGCACATATACGTGCGTATAGCACTCCGTCAAAGCTCGGACCTTCAGCTCCAGGCAACAGAGAGCCCCGGGGAACGGCCTCGCCGGCTGCCCCACTGAGGGGACGCCCCCTCCCTCCCGGAACCAGGCTGGCGTGAAATCTCACCCTTGTCCTCTTGCTGTCCTGCCTTGTTGTGCCCTGACCCCTGCAGCGTGTCCCAGGAGAAGAGGACCGCGTTGTGGCTTGCACCTCAAAGCATCCTTTCCCCTCCTAAAACACGGTTCTGGAGAAGCTAATTTTAGGATGAGTGGCTGCTCTCGGGCCCGCACACCCCGGGTGGGGTGGGGGTGGGGTGGGGCTCGGTG